AATCATTGACTATCACATACATACATTTATGTACTACTGAAATAACATGTTAGTATGCTCCATTTTTCTTGAGTGCTGTTCCATAAATAACTTGCATACAGTTTCAATGGTGATAGCAGTATCATAATGATTATGTATTAAAGCTAGGGCACTCAGTGTTTCTTCAGTTTGTGTACACCTCAGGTAATTAGACATGCATATCTAAAGGAGAGGCTTAAACTTCAATACAACTTTTGTTTGTGTGAAAATTAACTAGTTTCACTTTATCTTCACCAAACTGCATGATTTGTGGATAAATGACATTCATAATTCCCTCCTAAGTTGTCTTGTAGTGGGTCAGCAATAAGTTTACAGCTTTCTAATGCTAAATCCAGGGTTGGATTCTCCATGATGGACAGAATGCAGAAAGCCCACTGAGTAATTTTGCAATAAGAAAACAACAATCCACCTAAACGGAAACATTCTTCAGATAACAGACTTTCAAGAAGATATTTACACAATGGCCAACATTCATTCCAGTTTTTACATATAATTTCCAGTGTTGGATCATTTGTCTCATTGTTATGTTTCTTTAATTTTTCTTTTTCATTGCGAGTCTGGTAGCAATAGCTTTGAAGTTCTTGTTTTAGGACTACAACTGCCATATTTTGATTGTTTTCAGTTTAACACAGTTTTATCATTGTAACATACTTGTGATCCATCATTTGAGGGCTCAAGGTGGTAGTTATATAAATCTTGGAAGTGTTAATTATATCAGTAATTTCAGATGTAAATCTAATCATTCAATTTTTTTTAAGAACGATAAAACTGTTGTACTAAAATCACACGTAGCAAGTCAGTGAGCATTATAACAAAGAGTTTATGTACCAGTTTGACTGTTCCTCAGGGTTGTTTTTTTCTAAGTTGGTGAATCATATCTAAGAATGTCTTCCTTATATATCATTCTTATTCATAAAAACCTATTCAAGTTGGTTAACTAGGATTAAAGTTTAATTTAAAATTTGTTGACTCGTACAAGTTGGAATTTTTACTAATTACAGGTTATATTACAGTTTTTAACTTTAAATATTTGCATTTTGTTTTCTTACTTGTTAAAAATAAATACAATCAACATTAATATGACCATATACTTCTGAGGATTTGTTTTACCACAATCAAAAACAACTTTATGTTGTAACTAAATTTTATGAAATGATCAGAGAAAAACATTATTGTCTCTTATGAACGTGAATGTTGTATTGCTTGTCTTAGTATCAGTATAAATGTTATTGGATTTAAATTTGTCACATCTCTACAAATCTGTCTTTAATATTCACTAAAGATTGTTGGGGTTTCAATTCAAAACCTTGAGTCGATGTCATGTTTCAATAGCATCATGTACTAAGTTTTAATATCTTAGTCTGAGTACCTCTAACCTTATATGAAAGACTAGAACACCATAGGAATGTATTAGTTATTACATAATTGAATTATCAGATGAATTTCTTTCTGGCAACCAGGTATTTAGCCATCTGTGAATAAAATCATTTCAAAACTGCAATGATGCACAGTTCATTAAGTCTGTTTATTTGGAACTAATAATCCTCAGCGTGAATGTGGTTTTCAAATATGCTAGATTGCAACTAAATGATCGGTTACTTGTTGAAATAAAAAGTACCTTCTGATTCAGGAAATTAGATATAAGAATATGTGGTTCCAATTCATAATTTTCATTGCTGTCATCTTTCTAATACATATGGACACTTTTAAAATGTTAGGTGTCGTTTGATCACTGCAATATGTTTTATGGGTATATGGGAAGATGTAATAATACCAGTACCATGAAAAAGAAGTTATTCAAAAGATATTTACTATTGGAAAAAATACACTTTGTCAAACTGAGGTACATGTTAAAACTTTACAAAAAACATTTGTGTAAACAATCAGTAACAAATAACAAATGTAAAATAATGTACATGTAAACTCATACTCAGTTTCTCTTAGTACTGTTCATGTTTATGTAAACAGAAAATAAAATAGCACATAATCATAATGGAATGTACATGTATAAGATTATAACTCTATATAGGAAATTTGGCATCAAATAATGCAATAATACAAAATGTTACCCTGAACATTATCAATGCTACAATACAAGATAAAAATATTGCACTGTTCTAAAACACTTAATCTAAAATGACTATGAACATTTCCAGACACAAACAGCCAAGTTCCCAGCAAAATACATGTACAGAATACTTTTTAATTCGTGTGTTATCTCCATGCCAAAACCCTCTCCCACCACTACGTGCCAGGCCATGCCATGTTTTTTGTCCATTGTCTCTTTTATCATCCTTGCTGCATTCTAAAAAGTGAAATTGATAGTAAGCTTGTAAAATTTATTGAACTGCTGTATTCTCACATATAACTGTAAATATAACAAAGAAAAAAATCAAATAAATGCTTTAGTTAATTTACACTGGAATCCAAATATACTTATTAAACTAAATATCTTCAGCATTTGTTAAATAAAATCGTTTTTTTTTCTTGGTATAATTTACATCTCTGTTAAGATGAAGATAATGTTTCTGAAAAGTTACTTACTTGCTCAAGTTTGATATTCTGATAAAACATGTTCTTACCTTTTTTTTAACTTTTCTCTCTCTCTATCTCACTCTCGCTTTTTTTTAATATCATAGAACTGAAGATTATAAATTAGTAGTTTATTTACAATTTAAAAGTTAATTGCTTACGTAAAAAAAGCAGACTTAATAATGTAAACAGCAAAGGCAACCATTACCTATGATGAGTGTCTTGTAATGTTATTCACAACATGAAATAATCTGGTTTTAAAGAAATATTCTAAAGGAAATTTTTCTAAAATATTTTTATGCACAGACACATACACAAGTTACTTATTTTAAGACAAAATCTTGTTTCATTACAACATATTCATGATGGCTAGGTGAGGTGAATTCATGTGGAAAAAGACAAAATTTTTTTTTATATATTTTATTAATTGTACTTACATAAGATGATTATTCTGAAATTACAAGGACCTTGTTTATTTTTAACGTCACATGCTATCATCGCTCATTAAATACAGTAATTTCAAAACATTATTACACCCAATACGAAATTTATTTAGTAAAAATAACCTCATTGTTGTTAGCAAATTCTTCACAAGCAGTGACACACAGTTCCATGGTTTCCACCCTCATTTCCTCATTCATGTCTGAATGCTATAAAAAATATATATATATATATACTAAATTTGTAACTTTCAAAAAAGTTTGAACATTCTGGAATATTGAGAATGGTATTATTTTATCATTTTACAAATCAATATCATAAGCATAGCTTTCTTTTGCTTGAAAGCTGCAAAATAAGTTTTCTCAAGACTTTATGATTTACACAATAATTTCATCAACAATAGTACTTTTAAGGGGACATAAATTGAACTTGATTTTAAGATTTTCTTGTATACCTTATATGATATTGGAGTACAGTTTTTTATCCTCTATAATAAGAAGCCCAGGAAAAGTTGTTTTATTAATACCAAGAAAAAATTAAACTAGTATCTAAATATTTCTGATAACTACTCATTCACTTCTCATGTGTAAAGTCCATAAATTGTATTTGCCACTTGACCAAACATGACTAAGAAGATCAGTTTTATATACTGATAAATTATTTTAAAAGTTTTGCAAGTACATTTTTATATGTTTATATACTTCAAAGACTCATCACACTAACAAAGAATATCAAAAATCATTTTAAGCACACAGAGAAACTATGATGTTGTCAATGTATGTAACATGATTTCTCTCAAAAAAATGAGAAAAAATTGTAACTATATTTACGTTATACTTTGTAATGCAGTGATATTGAAGTAAATAGTTTTGTAGTTTAAATATACAAAAAAGAGAAAGAGGCAAGAAATTTGCTTGTTTCTGTAAATAAATATCAATAAGAGATACAGAAAAGAATGTATGTGCAGAATTGTTTGTTTTATATACATGTTTTGGAATTTTGAGGGGTAATAAAATTATAAAAAAAATTTGAACTTGGCTCATAGTATACTAATCACAAACACATTTTTTTCTAAGTATTTTAAAAAACTTGATGCATTGATTTATTTGTATGGAAAGAGTGATTATTTTTTCTATTACCTTTCAAGAACTACAGATAAATTCAACTATATATGTATGTGAAAAAATATATTTAATCATTTTTTGTTGTTCTTATTCACACCATTTTTGTTCTCTACCTTTAGTCTTAAAGATACTATGTACTTTTTTTCAGAAATGCATGACAATTAAACTTTCTTAATCAACTTTTTGAACTTATTTAGCTAACATACAATGCCTACTGATAATTATAATTTTTTTTATTGTCCTAAAATTTTTTTGTACATTTGATAGCAGACATGTATTTAAATTAGATTTTAACACTAGTAACAGAAAAATACCACAATAAATTTAAAGGATTTTATGAAGAATTTACAATGTTTTTTTCACTTGATGAATGGCTATGTGTTATTTGCTTCTTTTGGATTACTTGGTAAAAAAAAAGAAAATTCAAATTCCAGTCCACTTAATGATAACATAAAACATTTAATTTCTTCAAGTTCCACAATTAGTATAACTAAAATAGACTGATAAGCCTGTCTTTACAATTAACTACATCTATCAGCTCTAAACAAAAATTCAATTTACTTGCTAATTTTGTACCTCTATTTCTTTATTGAAACACAAACTCAATATACACAGTGTGAACTAACTTGGTCACAATAACAGACAAACTATATTAATTATGTACTAATTACATATTAACTGGCTAACAAACTCACTAACCAATAACTCACTCTAACAATAGTACTTTCAATTACATTTCTAAAAGAAATCTTTATAAAACTTCTTAAACAGTGGGGTCATTCAATCTATAAGCTTTTTAAGTAAGGTTTATTTTATGTTAGTCTGGGAATAAAGAAAAATTGTGGATTTGTTTTATTCTTGGACACAACTCACAAGTTCCACTTTGAGTTTGAAATTTCACTAATTTTATGCTTCAAACTTAGCGTATGCATAGCCAGTTTCAATTTCGATAACCTATATAAATATATCATACAAGACACTGGACATAACTTTATAAGCCATTTCAATCTGTGAAAGACTGGCTTATCGTCATAGCAGTGATAAGAACACTGACTTAGTTATTTAAGTTTATGACTGTGAGTACGAGTATATAACTAGGCCTAAGCTCCTATGCCTGAAGTCATATTATTATACAGTGTATTATCAGCTGGTACATTAAGTTATATCCGATATTACTGAACACAACACTCATTCTGCCCAACAAACTTTTATTATCACGTTTCAGTTTACGTAAATCTTATTAACATTTTAATTTAAATTATAAAAGTAAAACACTGGTTTAGTACACTTACCTTTATTAGGGGGTAAGTATGGATTACTTTTTTAACTGCTTCATTTCCTTCATCTTTCCTTACCTCAGCTGCGTCTCCCATTTTTTTAAATTTTATAGTAGACTTTTTGAAAGTTTATTAGGATAACCTAAAAATGAAAAACATGCATTTGTAAATTCGTTCCGCGTCCCAGTAACCAGGCCAACGCTAACACGCATGCGTATTTCTGTGTTTTGACTAACTGAAAAAAAAACCCAACAAATCCTGAAATTTTCTACAAGTGGTAAATATATCATTAACTATAAAAACGTTTAAAAGATAATTGTAAATGTCAGCAGTATTGCCAGATCCTAGGTTTTCCTCTCGCAAATGGGATCGTTGGAAATGATAGTCGCCAGAAATATATAGACGTCGCTACTTTTTGGCTTATTTCTAACAGGTCTTGCGGATTTTTAGGATATATATATATATTCTTTTACAGGTGAATAACACAGTCACAAAATTACTTAAGTTGAACAAATTATCTACGACTGCAACTTTGGCAGCCAGGTAATTTTTTAGTATGTTTTTTGCCATTTATTATGTTTACGATGTCTCATCATCTAGTTTAGAATGTTTTATTTATTAAATATATTTGGTAAATGTTTACAACTTTTAGTGCAGGTGTCTTGCATGTAGTATGAAATTCTTGTTAAACGAATGTCGAAAGGTTGTAAACAGGACTGAAGTGAATCCGGAACGTGGAGGAGTGGCGCTTCCGCGCTTTTCTCAGTGCCATGGCGCTCAACTGTTAATAATAAAAATTATTATGTTTCCGCACAGAGACATACTGTTTGTCTGTTGTTTCTTCATCTTATTCTTTCTTTCTTTTTCCAAACACTTTCAACTGATCTCCATTCCTTCATTTCTTGATGGATTGACTTGAAACTTGGTAGGGTTATATCTTTGTCCAATGCACTCATACACCTTTTACTTTCTTTTTTTACTTTTAGTTAGACCTTTTTAATCAATTTATGGGGTCAAAAGCCAAATTAACAGTCCAAAAATGTATATTTTGAGCTTCTATGTGGTCATATTTACAGTAATTAAAATCAAAGTTGGCTCAAATGTAAGTTTTCATGTACCCGACACATTGACATAAATAAGTTGGATTTGCCCATTTTGAACTATTTTAGGGGGCAGAGCTCACAAAAAAAGCAAAATATTGGGGTTTTTGGTCAATTACTCGGTCATATTTTGACTAATTTATATAGGATTTGGTACAAAGATACTTTTTTACAGGTCCCACACATTAGCAAATAAAAATAGTGGACTTGCCTATTTTTAGTAATTATAGGGGATCAATATACCACAAAAAGCATAATTTTAGTTTTTTGTTTTTTTTTTACAATTACTCCGCCATATTTCGGCCAATTTACATAGGATTTGGTACAAAGATACTTTTCTTCACAGGTCCCATACATATATATACAAAAATATGGGATATGCCCATTTTTGGTCATTTTAGGGGAGCCAAAAGATTAAACAAACCCATAATTTTAGAGGTTTTGGTCTATAACTTAGTTTTGTTCCGACTAATTTACATTCGATTTGGTACAAGAATATCTTCAAGCAGGTCCCAAGCAGTGATATAGACAGTTTTTTATTATTTTTTTTCACGATTTTTCTGATGTCAAAATTGGCCATGCGGGGATTGCATGGCGGAGACATATTGCATTTCCCCGCGAATGTTGGTTTCTTTATGTACTATATGTATTTAAAATGTTTCCTTGTTAGAATTTGTATTAAAAACTGTATAGTAATAACAATAATTAACACTGACCAGTGGACAATTTGAATGCAAGTATTTAAAAATACACATCTATTTCTTTGTTAACCGCAAAGCTACACAATGGGCTATCTGTGCTGTGCTGAACACGGGTATCGAAACTCAGTTTTAACGTTTTAAGTCTTCAGACTTGCCTCCAAGAGCTACAATTCTTTCAAACAAATTGTGTGCTTTTTTTTTAGTGGAGAAATCTTTCTGAGTTCCCATACAATTAAAGTATGTCATTTCACCAGGAACGCCCGCTTTGATTTCTTACGAAGTATTAAATAAATGACAAAACTTTCTGCCAATCATAATAAAAATTCAGCACAATTTTTACTCACTATTTTATTTATCAAGTGGTAAGGCTCTGATATGTGGATTCCTTGGAAATCAGGATAAGCCATAGCAGAGCTTTAACATGTACATTGCTATAGAATGTGAACTCCAATATGTCATCAGCCACGACCGATTAAAATTGTTCTCAATTGTTCCAAATAGTGTTGCCACATAAACATACAAAAACAAAACAGAAAAACACATACATACAAAAAAGAGCATAGATATTACTAAATCTTTTAATTAATAATTTTGTTAATAAAGGAGGTCTTATATATTTCTTTTTTATTTGTTTGAAGTTAAGCACAAAGCTACACAACGGGCTTTCTGTGCTTTGCCCACCACGGGTATCGAAACCCGGTTTCATGCGTTGTAAGTCCGCAGACATGCCGCTGTGACACTGGGGGGGGATATTACTTATTCTAAATTAACTGATTAAATAGTGTACGTCAGTTAAATGACAAAAGATCGTATCGTAACTATTAAACAGTTATTTAGAAAGTAAAATTATTAGTTTTGAAAATACCATCGATCATTGGGATTGCTCCGGTACTCTTTTTTTTTAACCACTAGCCAGTGGTTGTAACCATTTACTAATTATTTTATTCAAGTAAAGTTACATATGCCATAGCTAGAAATTCGTATCACTTTAGCCTTGTTTTACAATCTCCTGGGAATTACAGGGTCGAGCTCATCTCAAGAGGTGTTTAGATACTTGTTTAAATTGATATGATTTAGAAGTATTCATCCCCATATTGTTACTTGGAATGGTCAGTGATGTCCGCAAAGTTGGATACTGTATACTGTACAGCGAACCTTTAACGTTTGGTTTCAATATGGCGGTGTTTGCCTTATTGATATTGTTACGTCTTTGGTCGTTAGTTAACTTTCCGTAAAAACTCTTTCCGAAGATACTTTAGCGATACAAGTCCTTTCTTAAATAAAACTGTTTTATTCTTTCTGAATACAACTTTGCAATACACTTAATTTCCACAGTCACGCTATAACAAACACTATAATTCACAACGAACGACTCACGTGCTCGACTCAATTGTCAGTCTCTATCTCTGTCTGCAGTTCAATTACATTGTTGCCATCAGTTCTTGGCGGTCTTATATACAAGAATACCGCACATCTAGTAAACACTCGAGGCTTCACGAAGGGACATGAATTTTCTAGAAGCACGTGATGTGTTACTAGCGTCACGTGACCCCCCGCTGTCGTAACAATATGTAATACTTGGTCAGACGAAAGTAGTGATATATTCAGTTCCAATAATTATGTATGTTATGTTTTCCCTTCTATTACCTCGTTAACTCTTTGTACAGGTTTATTTAAATGTTAAAGTTCTTATCAACTTAATAATAATAATCAAGTAAGAAGTACATGTAAAATCTAATGTATGCATCTCATTCAGGAAAGTTCTACTCCAGTTCTAATTCTAAGTTAAAATTTCAGCTAATCCTAGTTTGAACATTGCTTTCACAGAATGATGTTCTTAGTTTTTTGTTTTTTTTTGTCTATGGCCTTTGGTCAACGTTTTTCAGCAGTTACAGATATAATACCTATGTTCACGAAAGTAATACTTTCTACACATGAAAGTTGAAACACTTTTTAACTTATATTCCCCAAAAAGCTATACACTCTGTGTAACAGAAGTTAAGTGTCATTCTTCCTAAGTTAATTAAAGATGAGGCAACATCAACTGCCCTATTGATTTTGCTGCTCTGACCACATTTTTATTTTAAGGTGTATACCAGCAACCTCGAAAAACTTTTGCAAAATAATATTTTATTTTTATTTAGTGACATGGATGTGCCGCCTCATTCCTAAACTCTCAGAACATGGTAATATAGTAACTGGAATAGTCCAAGTAGATGGGTATGGGTGTAGTTAATGGAGTAGCACAGCTGAAATTTATGGGTACTGAGGTCTGATTGATACTCATTAAATTATCTTGTAATTGGATAACTTTGTCTTCAAGGTCATTATTTGTTCTCTCATCTTGTATTGTGGTAATCTTAACATTCCTATCTCTTTGTACTGTAGCAATTCTGTCTGTTTTTAGAAGCAATATCCTCTTGAACAGCTTTAAGGCTGATTTTAACAAAACACTGAACATAAAACACGGTTTCAACATGTGATAATGATCTTAGTAATTATGCTAAAATTCACAACATTCTGATATTTGCATCTTTTTTTTTTGAGTCATACATTTTTGGTACAATAAACAATAGCAAATTTTTTATTATACTAAGTATATGTAAGTTTAATCTAAATAAACCTTGTTTCTAATAAGTTGTTGTGTATGCTCTTTCAAATAATCTCTATACCTTTAGCTTTTGTTCATCCAGTACCCTGTCTATATTTCTAATTGTATTATGTTATTTTTCTATTATTCTTACATTCCTTAGTTCTCAGATTTGATGCTATTTTGAAAGATATTCAGATTGCTCCCAATTTCCCTGTGAGTTTTTAAACATCTAGCCACTGTAGATCCCACTCCAAACAGTTGTGTTCTCAACATTATTTTAGTAATGACAGATGATGTAGTGAAAAGATTGACAGTTTGAACATGGAAAAATAATAAAAGTGTAAAAATCCACATATTTGTAAAGTCTGAATGTCAACAGAATAGCTGGCTTAAGTTAAATTTTTGTACCCAAAGTTTTGGGCACAAGAAAAGGGATTCCAATTTTGTTTACTCCAAGTGTCATGAGTCATAACTTATATTTACACAGGAATATGTATATTTTCACATTCGTTACATGCTAGGCCTAAAACGTAATATCTGAATCTTGAAACATCAGCTAACTTAACTATCTACATAATTTAAATTGTGATAGTCAGTCATCATCTAATTTTGATTCACTGAGACTCTCACAAATTTTTAAAATACTTTCTTCTAATTTTGAAATTGATTTATTATCATAATTAATGTTTACACTGATCAAAAACAGTACCTATCCGCCAAGAATAATATAATTTTTACATCTTGTAATAACAAAATATGGTCAGTCATTGCACAACACAGTAACAAATAAATTACTTTTATGTGCTTTTTTTTTGTGCCAATTGCTTCTCATTATTATATTGGTTACTTATATATAAATTATCACAACTGAAATAAGTATATGTTGTACCTATTTACTACATGCAAGTACGTATCGCTCTTACTGCACAACCATCCAATGTTGTACCTCCAGTTGTCTCATATATAAAATAAGCAAATTAAAGGTACCAAAATGGATTGATTAATAAACTGCACAAAATTCAGACACAAAATTAACAGTTTAGCATTTCCTCATTCACAATTTTATAATAAATAACCATTAAGAAGTATCTTTTTTTAAGACTATTTCAGAGTTTAATGATCAAATAGGAGTTATATATCTGATGAACCATGATATTGCTATAGGCTGTTTCTTATTAGTTAGAAGGAGTTTTTTATGGCACACGATTAGTGCATGGCTTACTGACTAGAACTTTCTTGAAAGTGTAAGAAAAAATACAATTTATCCTACTGTACTTAATGATTGATTAACGAGTCTATTACAGTGATGGATTGATTATCGAGTTAATATTAATAAATCTAGTTTGTGGAACTAGAATTTAAAGAAATAAAATACTTTCATCATCATTAAGTGGGTTAAACTTTACAATCTTTTTTTTTTACTGAATAGTTCAAAAGAACTTGCCCAACAGTTATAACATTTTTATAGTATGTTTTATAATACTTTTATTTTCTGTAGCTTATGAAACTACTTGTTGAAAGTTACAGTTAATATCATAGCCCACTTAAAAACAAGCTAGAAAAAAAAACTCTTAAATTCTATATTCCTAGTACCTGTGCATGTATTAAACATGTATTATCACTATTTTGTAAACAATATTGAATTTTTTTCCATGAAAGTTTGAAAAAACATAAATAAAACATCTTGTCTGAAGAAAAATAATCACTTAACAAACTAATAAAACTACTGTGAAAATAAAATAAACACAATAGCTGTGTTTATATTTATCTGTTTAATTACTGTAATTATAATAAATAATCTGTGACTTTTTTGAATCGTAATGATGTTCAAGGGTCATTCAATGAAAATATAGCTACATCCATAGTTGTAATATTCCTGATATTCACACTGACGTTATGCCTCAAGTCTCACATCTACCAAAGGGATAAGCTTGAGAGGTGCACAAATAGGCCCAATAGTTTGTTTGCTGTTTTGGGCTGAAGATGACATCTACTAAACGTCAACATACATTATTGATGAGCATTAAGAAGAGGTTGATTTCTATGTGTTAGAAAAATTGAATTCCCCCCCCCCACCACACACAATTCTACCATTTATAAAATTTAATACCTATGTGAGGCTAAATGTTGGAGGTTTGTGAGTCAAACTAAGTCTCTATACCACGCAGCAGACAATGAATTACTTTCTGGTTACCTTCACCACTGAAGGTGGTCGGAGTTTATGTTTTCACCCCCTGTGTGTGTGTTTTGCAGTAAGAATGGATTTGGACTATGACCCAACTCAGAAATGATTAGTTTTTGGAGGATCAAGGTCACAAAAATAACAAAATAACTATCTTTTAACATGGGGACCTATTTTTGCTCTAACTCATTCAAAAATGATTAGATTTTGATGAAACTTGGTGGATATATGTAGAATGTTATTCCTCATTGTCCTGCCAAAAATAATCTGTGTCCATTGATAATGATGGCCATAGGGACACATTTTCGTATTTTTTGAGAGGCAAATATGATCAACTTTGTGTGGTAGAGGTATGCGCTCTACTGAGTGCTCCTCTAGTTTCACACGTATTTAATTTAAAACAAACAAAACACTGTTAAGTACTTACAGACCAACCATACAGATATCATCATATTTAATCTAAGAATGTTTGCTTGTTCTCTGGGTGACATTTGTCTAAAAACCACTTGGAGAGCTGTTCACAGAAAACAAAAAGGTCAATCCTCTTCTTGAGGAATCTATTAAAACAAACTGGAAGCTAAGAAACATGTGACGTACTGAAGAGGGATAATACTAAACTAGGTGCTAACATGCGAGATAGTGAAGATGGATACTATTAAACTAGATGCTAACACATGAGATACTGAAGATGGATACTATTAATACAAACTAGGAATTAAGAAATATGTTTATTTGTAGTTAAGCACAAAGCTGCCCAATGGGCTATCAGTGCTGTGCTTACCATAGGTATCAAAACCCAGTTTTTAGAGTTATAAACCTTCAAGCGTACCGCTGAGGGCCAAGAAACATTTGAGATAGTGAAAAAAAAAAGATATTAAATTATGTTTTAAGCTACAATTGTGAGATACTATAAAACAAAACAGGTGCTAAACTACACATCTGAGATATTAAGTCATGGACCATGTAAACACAGCCACCTACAATAAATGTTTTTAATCCCAGAATTACAAATTAGAACCATGTGGACCCCCCCAGTGGTTTATTAAGCACATTTTTCTAACTATTTGTGTACCAAATTGCTTGTGGGTCCAAAACTTCATTGTTTACAGGTCCCCCCATAACGTACCGGTCATACAAACAATGTAAACAAGAATAACATCAATATTGCAGTTATTCCCATCAACGACTGTTATGATTTTTTATGTATTTTACAAAGGAAAGAAAATGATTTCACCCGATACGTTTTCGTTAATTCTTTACACAGTGTTATAACAGGCTTAAACTTGAAGTTATTTAGCATTATGTAATGTGGATGAACCCCACTGTAGTAAACAGTATGAAAACAAGTTGATAATGTGAATTTAAGTAAAAGACAAATTATTTTTGGCATTTGTGTTTATCCTGTCTTATTCAAATTTGAAATATATTTATATGATTCACATAAAAAGTAGACATACAAGAAAAGTACAAGCAAAAAAAAAAATTGAATTAAAAGATTATTGGCATTTATTTTAAATAAAAATCCCCCCCCCCACTCAAATTAACTTGAAAACCAATCATACATCCTTACCTGCTATTAAGTTATATGTTCCATTAATTCTGTTGAATTTGGGTCACAATCAAGTTGCATTAAATATTGTGATATGTTTTTAAAATAAAAACTACAGGCATGATTATCCTAAGGCTTAACCAAGTTTCCGTGTTCTTGCCAGTTCAAGTACAGAACAACAACAAAACTACTGTTAATTCATCTGCTGTTTCATTAATCTCCATAAAAGAGGTTGTTATTTGTTATTAAGCACAAAGCTACAGAAAGGGCTAACTGTGCTCTGCCCGCCATGAGTATCGAAACTTGGTTTCTAGCAGTATAAGTCTGCAGACATGCCACTGGGGGGCTAAAAGAGAAAGGGTAATAAGTATTCACCAATATTTTTATATTCTAACAAATCAATGTAGAAGTAGATTTAGAATAATATCACTTGTTTCATTTTGAAACTAGCATTCTATAGAAACACTATAATATCACAGTCTTACCACATTCCAGAGTGGCTACATCTATTTCTATTTTTGTGTTTAAATTCACTATTAGCCAAAATTCTCTCCCCATCTCAATAGAATATACAGTAAAGAACATTCAATATGTTTGGGTGAATCCATCTTCATTGTGTTGGTACAGTATATTATTCCTGAACTGTGTCAAAAAAAAAAAAAGGATACTGGCAGAAAACACATTTTAGTTGGTAAAATCAATGACTCGTTAAAAGTGATAATATGTAGCTTATTCTAATCTGGTTATATAATAAAAGAACAGTGCATATCAATTTCAGTTACACATAACAGTCCAGTCACACAACTGTTAAAAATGAAACATAATAGTGCAAACAAACAAAAATATGTTTTATGATAAATTATGCATTAAGGGTAGCACAAAGTGCAGTACAGATAAAAAACTTGTACCATCACCCAGAAACACGCCTCACTTCCACTCGTAAATTGGAAAATTAAGTTCTAATTCAGTGAGTGTAAATTGTTAATTAAAACAACTACTTTGTTTAATTACTGTTGATGCTGTAGAAGCTTGGAGACCTGTTCACAAGTGTCATCAGGGTTTGAGACAGAATGACCAATAGTTCTTGGATCACTGTAAATCTCAAAATCGTTTCCTCCTTCAGATGTTTTGTCTCCAAAGAAGTGAATAGTTTTGTAGCCTTCTTGCTCCAAGAGACGTAAACAATATGTTTTATCCCAGCCAATAGGGAAACAATCAAAACTTATCTGGCCACCTGGTGAATCATAAAATACATTTTTGATTCTAAAACAAAACATTAAGAATACGAGTAAATGCAGACCTAAATGATTTGCTCCAAAATTCCAATTTCTAAAATATGTCATGAAAAATCAATCTCATCATTTAAAACGTTAAGCCTTTTGAATCTCAAGTTTAAGCGTGCATAAATTCAGAGAAAAAGAAATACATAAATATATGTGCACGAACTCAGCTAGTGAGCAGACACTCTGCTTGAATATCCACTGGATTTGTATTATAGTTGAGCCATCCTCTTTTTTTTTTAAAGCAAAAATATCCTCATGGTTTTGTATAACTACATAATAAGCTGATACTTTTTTTTACATATGTATGTGTGTGTAAAAGTAGATATTAAAATAAAAACTAATTTCTAGAGAAATTCCTGCATGCATATTCATTTTATGAGTTTGTACATAAATTGCATATTAATGTATATTTTCATTATTATTATAAAATGTATTGATACATTCAAACATATATAAAATGATCACTATTCATTACAGATGTACTAATGACACCATGAAGAACATGAATATTTGATCACCTAAAATGGCCATCAGTGACATTACAGCCTTGGGATGACATGGTAGTCAAATAAATAAAGTTGTCCAACGTTGAACACATCAGATTGACCATTGAATTTTGACTATGGGGATACCTAAAGTCAATTGAGTATCATGAAGAATCTTCTACACTTGAGGACTTGACAGATACCATCCAACATCACATACCCATGTTTATCATGAAGAATCTTCTACACTTGTGGACTTGATAGTAGCCATCCAATATCACATGCCCATGTTCATCATGAAGAATCTTCTACACTTGTGGACTTGACAGATGCCAACCAACATCACATACCCATGTTCATCATGAAGAATCTTCTACACTTGTGGACTTGACAGAGCCATCCAACATCACATACCCATGTTCAATATTGGAGAACTTTATTCAGCTAACACATCATCCCAAGAATGCAGGCCATCATTGATATGTATGGTAAGCAAATGTAGCACCCTTTGGTGACCATTTCTGGTTATGACAGGTTCGTGTTTGTCTTGGTCTTATTGGTATATCCACCAAGATATTACTGTATGACAGTAATATTCACTTTACTGATGTTTGAACATACCAAATGACTTTATAAAAACCCGTAGGTATGTATAGTGAAAAATGCAAATATTTTAGCTCTCACAAAACTTTGGATGTTAATTAAAGCTGATCTACAATTAAAGATCATACTGTGGTGTATGATTATTACTGCAAGATGATTTAAACTAATAGTAACTATTTGATTTATAAAACATATACTCACCTATAGAAAAAAATAATCCCAAGTCTGGAAACTCTTTCTTTAAGGCCTCTACAAATTTCTCTCGGATCTTATGTTCCTAATAAAGATTCATAAGTAATACTTTTCAACAAGTTACTCCACAAATGTATCACAACTATTTTTTTCTGTGCCTCTCTATGTCTATATATATATATATATTAAAAGGCTATGATGACTACATAAAATGTTTAAATAAATAAAACTGCAAAGAAACTTGCATTTTTAACATCCAGTTTGTTTATCATATTTTAATAAATAATTTATCTATTGATACTTTTGTTTTTGGAGCAATTGTGTATTAAGGAGCATGACTGAGATGATAGATACTAATCAATAGAATGTATCCATGTTAAACAGTTGAGACAGATTAGTTTATTTGTGTATCATGTCTTGCAGAAAAAATATTCCAGTTTACAAAAATTACATTCAGTATTGAACATTACGTATATTATAATTAAGTTAAATTTTGTATAAAAGGAATAGAATAAGTATATAAATAAATGAAAAAATATACTTAAAAAAATAATAATGCAGCCACAAAACAAATATCTACCACCAGAGCAGAAATCATAGGCGAGTCATAATGTAGTTTCCCCTGGTTTTTGAGGTACTAGCACAAGTGAGACTCACTGTATTGGGGTAAACTGTCTATTAGGTTTAACCTCAATTTCACTGGCTTCACATTTTTAGAAGTAAAGGAGCAGATGTGGGTGTTCAAGCCCACAGCATCCAACATCTTTACCACCTTTCTCTGTCTGTAGCCAGAAGTGGAAAGGTGGTTGCTCAGACAAAAAAAAAAAAGGTAAGAAAGATAATAATTAGAATACTATGCATCAATGAGGGAGACAGCAAAACTATCTTTGAAGTTAGCATTCCAGCCGCCAATGTGAAGTTTGAGCATAAATACCAAGATGTTAAGGTACTACTACTTTTCTTACAAAGATTTCATTCAAATGACCATTCTTATATAAAACTATTTGAGCTCTAGATTTTTATCCACTAAGTCCAAAAATGCACATGGTTTTATAGCACAGAATATACTTCATATGAAGAATTTACCAAAAAATAAACAAACAGAGCACAAAATACAACTGTATATTATCAACTTGAATAATGAAAGGCTAAAGCAAAAAATGAAATTATATAATATTCTCTCTCAAAAAAAAAAAGATACTTTAACATTTATTGAATTTTCTGTATTGGCTCTATTTTGAAACATCTTATTCTGGAATAAGTTATACTTTTTGTCTTATTTTAATATCAAATACATTTTACTTTTAATGCCATTAGGTAAGATTTTTTCTTTTATTTTTGACAAAATTGTCTGAAAATGTTCAAAATGAGTGAAGATTGTAAGATTTAGAGAATGTTATAGTAGACTATTATACTTACAAATACAAGAAATAAACATTACGTTGCTTTAGGAGTCAGATTAATCTAAGTTTAGTATGAAACACGACTTCGCGTCTTTAATGGAACACCGTATGCATGGAAACACCTACTATTAAAGAATGCATGCAAACTGGATATCCTCCTTTTTTCTGAATTTGTTACTAAGTGAATATTTTACATATCCAGACACCCTTACCTTGTCATATTCAGAAAACTGCTCCCTTTCAAGTTGACTACAGCTTCTACCAACAGGGCAGACATTTACCAAACCATTACGAAATTCTATGAAATTCCCTCTAGAGAGAAAAAGAAAAATTTCCTTTGTACTAGTCATACTAAAACCATAAAAAGGTTTAGTTTAGTTTTCTCAGTCATTATGAATGACAGCTAAAACATGCTAAATTAAGAAACATTCAGTTTGCTCCTGATGAAGAAGGGTCAACCTTTCAAAAGGACTCAGGCTATGGGATTTTGTATTTTTATGAAACATTCTAGCTGACAATGGCATCAGAATATAAAGTTTTATATCATAAGGCACTCAATCATGGGTTAATATATCTATCTTATAGATATATATTATTTGAAAAATACTTCAATTTAAAACATGTATACAAGAGCCCCTCCCAGTGGAACAGCAGTAAGTCTGAAGACTTAAAATGCTAAAAACTGGGTATTGATCCTCATGGTGGTTGCAGCATAGATAGCCTCTAGTGAAGCTTTGTGCTTAACTACAAACAATTCAGGTATTCAGTTGTTACTTTGTATGTTTTCTCTGGCTTTGTTAACCATTGTTCTTGTAATTTGAACCTAAGGAAGATATAGTGGAAACAGTCCATACTGCTACGAAGCAACAAAATATTGGGCTTGTGGTGTGATTAGGACTTTTGATACTTAAAATATCAGAATGGCTCTTCAAAGAATATACAATAAATCCTCATTATTTAGGCATAATATTTCATACATCATAATAATAGCTGAAAAACAAAACTCATAATGCTACAGTTAAAGAAATTGAGGAGAAAAATTCAAACTCATGAGAAGTTAGTACTTAATGAAATACAATTTTGAAACTATTTTTTTAGTTTATTAATTTTTGTTTCTATGAATTAAGAGCTATTCAAAACACACCAAATACTAAACAAAAATTTTGAAATATAACTGTGTCTTGATAAGCTAATTTACAAATGAAATGTAAAAAAATCAAAATAAGATTTATAATCAAATCTAATTTGGTACAATTTAGCATATTAGTAATCTTGTAGTGCTTAAACAGCACAAAAAAACAACATTTAAATTTGTTAATATTAATTTCTGAGAAGGCCGAATTTTGCTTGTCAGATCCAAGCAAACCTATTCATAATAACCTAATTATCCATCCTGTTTATGAAGAAAAATATAATTTTACTTTAAATTTTATGTAACAGTTAAATAACTGATACCTGCCTAATAATACAATGTTTCTGAAAAAATCAGACTATCTAAGTAATGAATAGAAAAAATAACAAGGAATGAAGCTTATCAATACAATAAATTATATTAGTTATTTAGTAATACCACAAAAAATAATGTGACTAACATAACACAAATCTACAGAAATAAAAGATAACGCTATGTTTTAAGTCATTATTTGATTTGCTTACCTTTTATAAGGCAAAGTAATTTTAGACATGTAGTTTAAACAGTAGTTTATAAATGTTTGTAGCTTCTCTTCTCCCATGTAGTTAACGATGCTCTGAAACACAGTTATAAATTATGGGTAATATGCAAGTACTTTCAGAGAATTATGGCTTTTGTGGTATGAAAAAACAATAATGGCCACATTACTTGGTTTAAAACTTCTTAGTATTTCACAAGAATGGTGAAGTATGTACAAAACTATTAAAACCAGAATGATGCTTAAAAATAAATGTAAAGAACATATGTATACTTTCACAGATAATGTACAGGAATTGTTAATTGATAAGATGAATTAGGTAAGAAAAACTTATAATCTTTTATTGATTTTTACATTTCAAAGGAATATTCCAGTTACGACTCTGCTAACTTACATGAATAAGTGTTGAAAAACAAATAAGTTCTTTGATATTATAATTAAATATTACAGTATACTACGGTCATTGACTTGATATGAAATTTGTCAGGTTAATAACAATTTTAAGATTTAACAAACAAAATTTATTGTGAAACTCAATTATTGGAACTTTTAAATATAAAACTGAATGAGTACATTAACTACAAAGAGTAAGAAAAGCATTTCAAAAATAGTTGGTGACTTTACTTGGATGATTTTAAAAATTAAATGTAAAGAATAAGCTAAAGATCTCTGAATGGCTATTAAAGTCACAAATTTCTGATCAAATAAAATACAGGCTAAATATTACTTAGTAGGATTACTAACTAAACGAGTGGAAAAATTATATTGTTTATGAGATAAGGGTATTGTACCTCTTTCCATACAAGTTCACCATTCTTATAGGCTACAAGCCCATTTTCTGCAAACACATATGGAAACTTTGATATGACTGAAACATAAAAAATTAAATTAAATAAATAACAAAATAACTTAACGTTGTTATTACTGTATAAATATAAAATGTTAGATGGTTTTGCACCCAGAATCAACATTATATTTAAGGAAAAAGTTCTGTCAATTTAAGAAAGCATGGAAAGTATTTAGGTATTATTGATTATAACAATAACATTTCTTTTTATCTATCTGTGAAGTCAAAATAAAGAATATATAACAATCCAAGAAAGCAAATTTCTTAATATTTCAGAATTTTTGGGTTGAGTTGAATTTACCAATAAATATAGCGAGTTTACAAATATTATTATGACTTTATAAGGATTGTGGTTTGAAGCTGTATGGAGTACTATACTGAGCTTTCCTCTCCTTATTATTGAAAGAGCATTTAACTTCTGGAGAAGATGTAGAGAAGATCTAACAAACACATTTGACAGATGAGAAGAAACTGAAACAATTATTCTTACTTATTGTAGAATGCAGAATTTTGAAAGATTAAAAACTGTAGGTTCAAATAAATGACCTTTCTCAATGTTCTCTGTTTTTAAACTGGCATAGTAATGGTGGTTTTAATAAGAAATAAGTGTTAGCTTTAATTACACAGAAGTAGACAAATATTTTGAAAACACTGTTTAACTTTCAAAACTGTGAACTTGCTGAATACCTTGCTTAACGAGATTGTGTGTACTTATACGTTAGTTTAATTATTTTTAATGATAAATAAATATAATGCAAAGGGTTAATTTAATTATACATAGCAAGATATTTAGTATTTTTACTTGGAAAAAATGATTAATTCAACGAGACAAATGGTCAGTTGTCTCCTTAATCATTCTTGTACTTCCTTGGAATCTATATATATATATCCACATTATAAATAATTTTCTTTTAAAATTTGTTGAAATTTCTTTAAAGTTTTTAGATGGAGTTAACACTTACACAATAAACTTTATTTCAACACATGAAGTACTAAATCACTGGATGCTTCAAATTTTTCAACAAGATCTACTAACTGTATATCAATTATCAACTGCCAACGTCCAAGATTACATTGCTAAAGGCCACATCAGCAATAGTTCAATTTTCTGTTCCATAATTATACTCAATACCCATATCTAAGTCAATTATCAAATATTTTTTCATTACAATTGCTATATCCATCTTACAAAAACCTTTTAAGTTATACAAAATTGAACCTTAGGATGCTTACCATCCATTCCTCCCATTTGTTCTGCAATCTTAACTACATCAGATCCTCCAACCAAACCAACTGTAACTCTGGATTTAAGCATCAGCAGAAACTTTTCCATATTTTCTGTAATTCTCTAAAAGAAAAAAGTCAAATAACAATATAATTTAACCACGTTATTAGCCAAAATCTATCCAAAATTTTCCCTGGAAAAGAAAAATTAATGTTTTCAAGTATATGGTAGCATAAGAAATTTGTTATGGAAAATGTGAGTAATTTTTTTCAACAGAAACAAATTAAAATATAGTTAGTTTATACAAGTTTGAGCATTTTGGTTTATACTGACAGATCAAGTAACTTATATCAGATATAAAATGTTAAGTTTAATAAGTATGTTGTGGTTCTATAAAATCCTACAAAGGATAAACTGTGGAATTCCTAGTTTTTCTTACGATCATTTTCATTCTTGCACATTATTATAAGTTAAACTTTATGACAAAAAAAATTTATTATAGATTATTTTAAATACTGTTTAAGCAACTGCATAATAGATGCACACTATGTATCTTATTATTTATAACCAATATATTTTTTGTTTTTTCAATCTGTTTTTGGTATTTTTGAGATCTCTTACATCACTGTATATGTTTATAATGTATCATAACTTATATACATTGGTGCAAATAATTTTGTTGTAGCTTTAATAGATAATGATTTTATTTATTAATGTTTGCAAAATTATATTTTGTAATTAAGTGTTACAAGTCTACCCAATAGACATGGTCAAATAGCATCATTATTTCCATCACTGTATCTTTAATCAACTTGTTTTCACTCTTTTTATGTTAGAAGCATGTTAAGGAAACTTTCAAAAAATGCTGAGTTCTGAAACACACACAATAAATGAAAATATTGGAAAAACAAACATACACAAATTTGTTATTTAGTAATATAAATCGTCTGCATAGCAAAATTCTTGTGAATTTAGTGAGTGAATTTTGTTAATGATGAGTAGTCTTAGTTATGTAGCTGTAGAAACTACAGTGGTACATTGATTTCATGAAAATTGGTTACCAGCAAGATGTCTTGTTCGACCTAGAAAATTCTGTGAAGATGTACAGTAATAGAAAATAAATAAGGTAAGACTTCCACACGATATTGTAAAGAATAAGTTTACTTGAAATTGTATAACTATGTGTTTTTGTGTAAATCCTTGTAAACACTGCTTGGGATGATTTTAAATTTAATATGCTGAACGACCTATTGTATTTATCTCTTGTGCTGTTACTGTATTGTTATATGTACAAATCAAATAAATGAATTAATGTTATGCCTTTATTACAATTAAATACACGTTTACAAACAAATAATGATTTTTTCTCTCCATGAATAGGATTGACACTTTTAATTCTAATATTTAGAGATGAACTGAGGGCGAGAGAAATGATGCTGAGGTAGCTTAAAAGTCGGTACATTAGTGTTTGAAAACTTTCCGTTGTAACTTTAAATTATATCTGTGACCGTAGAAACCTACCTGGCGCGGTTTAGTTAATGTTCCGTCAACGTCAAATAAAAATACTATCGAAGAATCAATCTCCATTTGTGATTGAAAATGTACTATCTCAAAGTTCACAAATACGGCAAGTAAATATCACCAAACTGAATAACTAATATTAATATTTCAAAAGTTGATCTTCGATGTTTTACTTCTACTAATTCCAGCTACATTTACTTTCTTAAAACTCTGGAATGGACACGTGTAATGTTTATGTGAAACTATAGACGCTACCACTAGAGTTTCATAGTTGAGTACTCAGTACGAGCTTATTAATATCATTTTTATTGTTATTTTGCTAGATAATGATCCAGCATTTTCTAGTGTGTGTGTGTGTGTGTTTATTTATGAACTAAAATAATTCTGTATTAAAAATAACATAAGATATGAAATGCAGAACCTGATATTGCTTGAGTAAACATAAATAAAAACTGCTTGAAATGTGAAAGGACAGTTTTATAAATTATAGGTTGAATGGCCCAACTATTAGTCTTACAACACTCGTTACTTAAGATATTCTGCCAAGAGCGTTCCAATAAAAACCGAATATAGCATTGACTTTACGCAACTCGCAAGATGAGTGTAAAAAAGAAACATGACATGTTTGTAGATAAGTCACTCAAAACACTGTGTCAGT